GATTTTGGGACGTAATCATCCTAAGGGGGAGATGATTGTAACACCCGCAAATTAGGGCTAGTTAATTTGACTATAATAAGCGTTAGAATTGACTTTTCGATAGAAGATTATTTAGGATAAATAATCTTAACCAAAGCTATAGTATATGGGACAAGGATTCTACACATATAAAAAAAGGCTTAAATCTGACAATGTGAGCGGAAGTTATAATTTTTCTAATATTTCAGTGTAGTAGTATACGACTCACAAAGTGAAATTGGAATCGGTCGATTGTTAGGAAAAATAATCTAAAAGAAATTTGAAGACCTCGTCAATACATATCCATCAATAAAAACACAATCGAGAATGGATGTCATATAAGAGAGTTATGATTTTTTAACAAACTTTAACAATCTAAGCCTGTTAAAAACATAACTTTAAAAGTAAAGTCAAAATTAGCTGACGAAGTCTAAATGCAAGTTGTAGATCTCAACGACAGCCTATGTGGCACGTATTGTCACTCCACCCAAAATGCGACACATAACACCACGCAGAAAACGCGACGTCATCATGTCCGACCAAATTCTCGGCGCATAGGGGATCAGGTGTGTGACATGCAGTCCAAATTCAACTATAAATACGAGTCGAATCTCAGACCATTCTCACACCCTCCAAACGTTTCTCTCTCGATTTCTCTCAATTTTAATCCCTTTCTCCCTTAAGTTTTTAGTCAGTGAAGCCCTGCGGTGTCAGGTAGCCAACAATTAGGAGCTCTCGAGTCAGAGTTCTGCCCGCTTAATTCCTAGTTTTCATCAATGTACTTTATAAGTTAAGCCACACTTATTTTATTTAAGTGTAACTTTTAATTATAGCCATAGTCGTTATTATGAACCTATAATTAAGATTTATCAGTGATTCCAAGTCATTATACTGATTGATCTACTTATGGGGATGATGTCTAGGCTGGATTTAGTGAGATGTTTAGAGTGAGATTTTCAAACAGTATATTACGTATACCCTACCTCCGATATGATCCTACCTGGTTGTTCCTTACTTGATAGATCTTGATGTAGACATTGGGATTAGTGAGGGATCTAGACTATTATTAGTCACCAGGAATACTAGATTAAGACTTAGTAACATTCATATCTAGGCCACGTCAGAAGAAAAGTCAAGGAGTTTAGCAGAGTGCTGCTGAATTTTCCAATCACCCACCTAAGTCAGGTGAGTGCATAATTACTTTCATTTTACACATAGACAAAAAGTATTTAGATAATTAAGTGTTATATGTGTCTATTATATGTGATCGGAACCTTCTGTGTTAGATGAAATTATATGAGCCAATATTATTTAGCCATATATGTATTTTTGTACTTATAATGTATGGAGTAGTGAAGGGTAAAGATAAATGAAAATAATGAAGAGGGGCCGAGACATTTAAAGTACTACCAGACTAGTAATGTAGTTACCTAGTAGGGTATTGATAATGACCATATATTATTCTAGACAAGTAAGGTCAAAACATGGGCATGCACACGACTTGTAGATGTTTATAAGCCATACACGGGCATGTTTACCACATGTAGGTGTTAATATATCATACACGGGCAGGTTTACAACTTGTAGGTGTTAATAAATCATTTTGCGGGCAGGTCTATGACCTGTGGGCATTGATGAATCGTATGCGGGTAGGTCTACGACCTACAGGTGTTAGTGAACTATATATAGGCAGGTCCTTGACCTATAGGTGTTAAGGAATTTTATACAAACATGATTTACAAACTATAGGTATGAATGAATTATTCATGTGAGTATTTTGTTCACTCCATTAGCATATTTCATTAAGGAATCCCCAAGGTGGCATTATTTATTAAGAGATCCTTTAGGATGGATCCTTTAAGATTATAAGTTACGATTAGGGAGTGAGAATAATGGGAATGAGTAATTGGCTTACTTGTTTGATAATTAAACATATTAACTATATTATTATGGGTTGAAAACCCTATGTACTCACCAAGTTTCTCAACCTGACCCACTTAGTTTCTTTGTATCACATGTAGTGATATGAAGGTACTGATAGATAATGTAATTATCTGCTGAGAGATTCAAGGAATTATAGATCTTTAGTATATTGAGATTTTGTAAGTCTCCATTTATGATTATGTTTCTTGTATCGGTTATGGCATCCCCGACCTTAATAAATCAATAGAAACATTTCTTCAGAAATACTTTTACGGGACTAAATTCGACATTAATGAATAAACTTTGTATTAAATATGCATAAATAAAAAGTTTTAAATAACTGTGAAATTGGGGGGGTCACAACTCCGGCATATTCAATGTACAGATACACAATTTCACAAATAAAATAATGTAAAAGAATTTAAAACTAGTCATTATAATAAGGTCAAGAAATTTCCAATTACATTTTCTAAGTACATTTTCCATAAACTTGCATAAAAGAGTATTTTACAAAGGACCAAAACACTACTCATTCAACCTGGAATCAATCGTCCAAAAGCTTACATTGACCCCACTACCATAATCTAACAAAAGACATGCATGCATATTGGTTGGAATTATACATCAACCGTAAAAGACATGCATCTAGGTTGGAATTTTTACACCCATCATACAAAAGAATTAAAAGTGATGTCATCACATCCATAACTTCATGACACACTAAACTAACCCTACAAACAAGCAAATACAAAGCAACACAGTCCACATCAAGCACCTCTTCAACCCTGCAATCGTAGCTTCATGCTTAGCCACCAAACTTTCCAGTTGAGCAACTATTTTGTTATTTTTGGCCTTGACAAGCAAACCTTCAAATGACTCCAATTCCTGCTTCATTTTATACAACTTCACTTTGTAGTATCTTGGTTCTAGCCAATCATCTATCATGTGGAAGAATTTACATTTCTTCCTTTGAGTCATCTATCCAAGTCAAATAGCAAATAATAATCAAACATCTAAAATCGAACATGACAATAAAAAAAGTTCAAGCTAACCAGAATCACATTCAAAGAAATTTAACAAATTTCAGCTCAAAACATTACAGATCAAACATTGAAACTCACCAAACATCACTGATCAAGATTTCAGCTAACCTAAACTTCGTAAATTAAAATCATAGTTGACAGTTATCAAAATCCAAGCTAAGTAAGATCACATTCTAAATAAATAAACAAATACTAAACAAATCAGAGATTACCAGTGAGTTTGTACAGTTCAAAAAGCGGCGTGCAAGGTTTTTTGCCGTCCACAATATTCTTTCCAATGCGCCGGAGTCACAGTAGCATTTCTTCACTTCGTCTTCGTTACCAAAGGGATGAAGCTTCCAGGTCAGTCTTGCCAATGAAGCGTCGGAACCGGCTAACCTTTTAAAATTGAGGATAATGGCGTAACTAAAAGGTAATTTGAAAGTTTAGGGACTAATTGCGCAGAAAAATAACTTAATTGAGTGACCAATCCTGGACAAAGTCAAAACTTTGTTGTGCTACAGTGTTAATTTCCTAAAAAAAATTATAAAACTTAGTAACTAAATTGTAACAAATAATAACTGAGTGTTAAAATCATTTTTTTAACATAATGACTTTTTATGCTATTTACCCTATCCTTAAAAGATCAAGTAATTATCCAAAATATACAATATTGATGTCGGTTTAAATGTATTTGAGAAGATGTTTTTATTGATGTAATTTTATTTTAAATTATTATATTTTTTGTTATAACTGTATTAAAAAACGCCAGGTACAAAATAGAAACTTATGTAAATAAAAAGGGTGTAAATTTTAATCTATGAATTGCCTAGAAAAGAAAAAAACTAAATAAAAGTTTCAATTTAAAATTGTTTACAACTGAAAAAAAATAAATAAATATGTGTAGGTGTCACGTGTCCAGGCTGTCTTATGGCTCTCCTATACATGAGTGTACTTCGAGGTTATTTAACAACGCCCCTTTCAAAGATCTAGTTTCAAGAATTCAAAGTGAAACGTCTTACAATCCATTTGATCTCACATATAATGAAGTCCTTTTTGCAGCAGCAGTTTCAAGATCTTAAACACTTTAACTTGAACGAGATAAAGACAATCACCGGAAACTTTGATGACAACAAATTTATTGGAGAAGGTGGATTTGGGAAGGTGTATGCAGGGGTACTCTCCGACTCCGAGGGACAAATCAGGGTTGCTTTTAAGCGTCTGAGTAGCAAATGCGGACAGGGAAACCCTGAGTTCTTGAAAGAAATATTCATGCTTTCCCGCTACATACATGATAATCTGATATCTCTTGTGGGATTTTGCGATGAAGAAGAAGAAAAAATCCTTGTGTATGAGCATGCCAGTAATGGAAGCCTTGATTGTCATTTGAGTAGCATGACTCTCACATGGACACAACGTCTCAAGATATGCCTTGGGGCTGCAAGGGGACTCTGCTACCTTCATGATCCTAAGGAGACTCAACAAAGAGTCCTCCACAGAGATATTAAAAGTTCCAACATCCTATTAGACGAGAATTGGAATGCTAAAGTTTCGGACATGGGACTCTCGAAAATAGGACCCGCAGGTCAGCAGCAATCCTTTCTTGCAACTAATGTTGTTGGTACCTTTTGGTACATAGATCCGATGTATATGGAGACAAGTATCCTAACTAAAGAGTCCGATGTATACTCTTTTGGGGTCGTTTTGTTTGAAGTGTTGTGTGGGAGCCTATGCTTTGAACGTAACATTAACAATAATCATTTTCAGAGTTTAGTCCGAAGGTGGAAAAAAAGCTATAAAGAGAAAAAGTTAGATGAGATTATCTTTCATAATCTGAAGCAAGGAATGAATATGAGATCATTGGAAACATTTTCACAAATCGCCTATCAATGTTTGATGAAATCTCGGGTACAACGGCCAAAGATGTCTCATGTTGTTGAAAGACTTGAGATTGCGCTTCAGTTTCAACAGGGGATTACTAATCCAGAGGAGTTTAAAGAGATGGTTAAGTCTCTGGTCAACAAAGAGGAACTTGAGATGCTTCTCTCTAGTGGAATCATCATTAATGGGGGCAACACGGTAGTTCGCTTTAGATTTTTTATTTATCTATACTAAGTTCTATGATTTATAAAATATTAATATATATAATTTAGGTTCATCGGAGGAATTTCACCAAAGCAAAACACGAAAATCCACCACCTATCATAGATACCTATTTACAAATTAACCAAATCGTGTAAATTGAAAACCAAGAAAATCTTGGTTTTCCAAATCTCTATTCTCATAGTATAACTAACATGACCTCTTTTGATGGACATTGGACAGTGGTTCTCGTTAAATAAGAATGGGAAGCATTGTGAAATGATATCAGCCGAATGTTTTGGTGTTTCATTCGTTGAACCTCCTCATGATTATGTTCCATATGATGGTAAAAATAAATCAAGGTTAGTTCTCCATCTTCTCCTTTAATTAGTTTCCAGATTTTACATACTATAAACATATATACACTTCATGCAGATTTCAAGTGTGCAACCGAAGAGGTTTATTTGGAAATTTCACCGCACATGTGACAACACAATTTTTGTCACCAAATATCATATACAAAGTAAACCTTGTGTTTATGAATGTACTCAAAAGGCAGGACAATTTAGGCATCAAGTTCAAGTCCGGTAGTAAGACAAAGTATATGGTTTTGTTTGTAGCACATGAGAGAGAAGATGGATGGTTGACAGCTGAATTGTATCAGTTCTTTGTCAACGAGACTGGTAATGTTGACTTTGAAATTGAGTTCCATTGCCTAAATGCGATTGAAGTAGAAGGCATTGAGTTTCTTCCCCTGGAGAAAGTAAGTTGACAAGACCGGTTTCATTATGTTTATGTTTTTTTTTTCTTTTAATTACTGTCTCAAAACATTCTTGAAAAATAAATCCTTTGCAATAACATTGGTAAAAGAACCCTTTGTTGGGAAAAAGTAGAAAAAATCGGAGATCAATAGTTGATAAAATGAAGTCTAATGGAAATGCTTTGATATAAATTGTGCAGCATAAGTTACTGGATGTGGATTTGCAAACAAACACAGATTGGGGACCTAAATTGCCAAGTGATTATGAAGACATAATCAAGTGGTCAAAAAATTTCATGTCTTTATCTCTGGGACTAAGATCTGAACGTGATAGTTTGCAGGCTTTGATGTTTATTCAGCAACTTTGCATTAAAAATCTTTCAAGCAAGCACATTATTCGTAATGCTGATCTCATACCCATGATTGTTGAGATGTTGAAAAGCACCAGTAGTCAAGTCCGGTGTAGATCACTTGAAACACTTCCGAGTTTTGGTAGAAGATGACAATGATAATAAGGTTAAGAAACAAATATATCTGCGAATGTATTTTATAATTTGTGTGTGAGATGCTGCTTATTTTTTGATTTGCAGGAAATAATGGCTGATGGTGTTAGAGTGTGCTCGATTGTGAAGTTTTTGTCTGATGAACATTCCCAAGAAAGGGAAGAAGCTTTCTCGTTGCTCTATGAGCTCTCAAAATCAGAGGTTTTGTGTGAAATAATTGGTTCTGTTAATGGCGCAATCCTTATTTTAGTTGGAATGACAGACAGCAATTCAGAAAATCTTTCAATTGTTGAGAAGGCTGACAAAATTTTGAAAAATCTAGAGAAGAATGAGAACAACGTGAGGCAAATGGCTGAAAATGGAAGATTGCAACCCCTTTTGACACTTCTTCTTCAAGGTATTACTTCCATGAAGTTTTATAATTTCAGTAGTATGTGAACAGATTCATAACTATGTCTAACATTACCCTATCATGTCGTTCAATCATTTTCAGGTTCCCTTGAGATCAAATTACGTATGGCTTCATACCTCGGTGAGCTTAGCGACAATACAAAAGTTTTTGTAGCAAGAACTTCAGGTTCATCGCTAATCAACCTCATGAAAACCGGTGACACGCAATCAAGAGAAGCCGCGCTCAAAGCTTTAAATCAAGTCTCCTCTTGTGAAACAAGTGCGAAGGTTTTAGTTGAACAAGGCATACTTTCACCTCTTATCCAGGATCTTTTCTCGGACCTTCCTATGCGACTAAAAGAAGTATCCGCAACAATCCTCGCAAACATAGTAACCTGCGACTGTGATTGCTTTTCCATCACAGTGGGGCCCAACCACCAGACTTTGCTCTCGGAAGACATACTTCACAACTTACTCCGTTTGATCAGCAACAGCGGATCATCCCTCGAGTATGAACTTGTACAAGTTCTCATCGTAATCACCAATTCCCCTGTCACCGTGATTCCAGTCGTGAACGCCGTCAAAAGCTCCGATGCCACCATCGTTTTGTTACAGTTGATCGAAGCTCCACAGAAAGACCTACGCATGGCTTCGATAAAACTTCTCCATAACCTCTCATTACACATAAGCCAAGAATTAGCTAATTGTCTATACGGGTCAGCGGGTCAACTCAGTCGCCTATTTAAAGTAATATCAGAAAACATAGCGAGCACTGAAGAGAAAGCAGCCGCCATTGGAATTGTAGCGAACCTTCCAGAACAAGATAGACTAACTCGCAAAATGCTGCATGAAGGCGATTTTGAGATCGTTGTTTGTGGAACAAAAATGATCACACAAGGAAAAACTAGAAGGATCCGTTTTATGGCTATGTACCTCGAAGGACTTGTAAGTGTCCTATCGCGGATTACTTTTGTTTTATCCGATGTACGGAAAGCCATCTCATTTTGTCGTCACCACGAGCTCGCTGCTTTATTTTCCAAATTAGTCCAACAAAACTGGCCCGACAAAGTTCTAATGGCCTCCGCTCTTGCTTTAGAAACTCTATCTCGCCATTCGAAAAACTTAACAAAACTACCTGAGATCCGACCACCTAAATTTCACATGTCGGGTTTGCTCCGTTTAAGTAAAAAACCGGTCATTTCAGGGCTGTGTAGGGTCCATCGGGGGGAGTGCACACAACGAGATACATTTTGTTTGTTAGAAGGAGAAAGTTTGGCAAGTTTAGTGAACCTGTTAGACCATAAGAATGAGAAGGTGGTTAAGGCATCATTGGCTGCATTGTCAACTTTGTTGAATGATGGGGTGTATATAGAAGAAGGGGTGAGTGTGTTGCGTGAGGCTGAAGGGATTAAGCCGATTCTTAATGTGTTGATAGAGAATCAAAATGAGAGTCTAAGGAGAGGGGCGGTTTGGATGGTGGAGAGATTATTGAGGACAAAGGATATAAAGTATCAAGTGTCGGCAAACCCAAATGTTAGTACAGCGCTTCTGGATGCGTTTCAGCATGGTGATTATGAAACAAGACAAATTGCGGAACGTGCGCTTAAACATATAGGTAAGATACCCAACTTTTACGGGATCTATCCTAACATGGGTTAGAAATCTACCTCTCTTCTGATAAATGAAACCTAAAAATAATAAGTGTCAGTTTTTTAGAATGTCTCTTTGACACGTGTCATTTTTCTATGATTTTTATTATTTTTTTTTTTTTTGGAAACAAATCAAATTCAATTCAAAATTTAAAAATACAAAATCATATCCTAATAACATTATTATGTTTATTTTGATTAACAAATTAATACATAATTACTTACAATCGACAATATCATGGGTTTTTTTACATTTATTATTTTTTATCTATATAAAAATTTTAATATACCGACCGTGCGTGGTTTCCACGGGTTATAACCTAGTGGGTTAATATTTAGGGTTAAAGTATTTAGTTTTTGGTTAAGGAGCTCTTTTTATTATTGTTTTGGCAGTTTAACAGCAGAGTCGAATCTCAAAGTGTGTGAGGTGGACGACATGATCCATGTCATGAGGGGAGCACAATTTTTTTTATTTTATATAAAAAAAATTACATGAATGGTCTCTATGGTTTGAGGTAATTTGCACGTGTAATTTACCCCAAATCATAGGGACCTTCCGAGTTAAAAAAATAAGTTAGGGACCAAACAGACAAATTACCCCAAACCATAGGGACCATTCATGTAATTTACTCTATAAAAAAAGAGACAAAAATATTGATATTAAATAAAAATCAATAAAATAAGTAAATAAAAATAAAAACAAAATAAGTAAATAAAAATGATGTAGAAAAACTCAGATTTCAAATAAACAAATTCAAACTTGAAAATGATCTTTCTGATTCTCGAAGAATGAGAGGTACGGGGATTGATCGAGAAATATCTTTTGTTCTTATTATAAGATCGTGATTAGATCCGCATATATTTTATAAAAAGAATAATTTTCTCCTTGGAGAATAATTAAAAAACGAAAAATGTTCAATTGGAATATTAATAAACTTTGCTTATAGATTAAAAGAGTTATATTTAGGGGTTTATTTTTTTCACATAAGCCCCTTAAAATCAACAAAATGCCCATGTTTAAGAGCACCCACAGTGGTGCATGTTTAATATCTTGCAAAAAAAATGCCAACTCAACATAAGTCATTAGCTTTTGGAAAGAGAAATTTGTGGATCTATCTAACATAATTGGTTGTAGTATTTAAATATGATTGTTATAATAACATAGTAATATAAAATCACTTACAAGACTTGCAAGTCTTGCATATATATAAAGAAGAAATTCAAGTGGCATTAAAAACTAGCTTAATGGCATTGCAATTTCTTCTGAAAGACCCGATGATGTGGAGGGTTTACCTGTATGAAGTTCATATTACGTGTTAAAAAGGAACCACAACGGCCTTTCAAACTAGTTGGTACCAATTAATTATGTGGTTTTTTAATTAATAAAAAAAATACAACATCAGTTGACAAGGCTTCCCTTTTATAGGGAGAGGATTGCATTTTCTTTCCTCCCGATGATGTGGGAGGATTTCACATAAGATTTATGTATTACTTGTTTACTTATTCGAATTATATTCAATCCAATTAAAATTTCCATCACAAATATTAATCATGTGACATTCTTTTGTTCAGAGGAACACACATTATATATATATATATATATATATATATATATATATATATATATATATATATATATGAATGAATGATCCTCCATTGTGTGGACGTAGAAATCAATGAGATTTTAGAAAAAATACTTAATAATTCATATAAGAGTATTCTTGGAACTTTGCATATAATCAATTTTAGAAACCAAAAATACTTCCTTAAATCTTTCTTCCCTTGCTTCATCTCGGTTTGTGGTGGATTTCGATTTCCATAAGAAGCTTTCTCCGGACCAAAATTCTTGGTTAGAAGATGAGTTTTCGCATGGTGAGGTTAAGCGGGCAGTTCGGGATTATGGGGGTGATAAATCCTCAGGTCCTGATGGCTTCATGTTTGACTTTTTTAGAAAGTATTGGAATATGGTTGGGGATACTGTTGTTCATGAAATTATTCATTTCTTCTCTTCTTCTAAGTTTCCTAAAGGTTGTAACCCATCTTTTATCACTTTAATTCCTAAAGTCTCGGATGATAAATTTGTGAAGGACTTTTGGCCCATTAGTCTTATTGGTTGTCGGGTTTTTGGCAATGTAGTACAACAATGTTTTGGCAATTTGCACATTTAGTCACTCATGTTTTTTGTGCTAAATTGGTCCTTAAAATTAGTAAATACCGGCTAATTACACCCTTATTCACCCGGGTAAACGGAGCAACCAGTTGTATTTCTTACGTGACATTACATTAAATACCTCGCTGCTTTATTTTCCAAATTAGTCCAACAAAACTGGCCCGACAAAGTTCTAATGGCCTCCGCTCTTGCTTTAGAAACTCTATCTTGCCATTCGAAAAACTTAACAAAACTACCTGAGATCCGACCACCTAAATTTCACATGTCGGGTTTGCTCCGTTTAAGTAAAAAACCGGTCATTTCAGGGCTGTGTAGGGTCCATCGGGGGGAGTGCACACAACGAGATACATTTTGTTTGTTAGAAGGAGAAAGTTTGGCAAGTTTAGTGAACCTGTTAGACCATAAGAATGAGAAGGTGGTTAAGGCATCATTGGCTGCATTGTCAACTTTGTTGAATGATGGGGTGTATATAGAAGAAGGGGTGAGTGTGTTGCGTGAGGCTGAAGGGATTAAGCCGATTCTTAATGTGTTGATAGAGAATCAAAATGAGAGTCTAAGGAGAGGGGCGGTTTGGATGGTGGAGAGATTATTGAGGACAAAGGATATAAAGTATCAAGTGTCGGCAAACCCAAATGTTAGTACAGCGCTTCTGGATGCGTTTCAGCATGGTGATTATGAAACAAGACAAATTGCGGAACGTGCGCTTAAACATATAGGTAAGATACCCAACTTTTATGGGATCTATCCTAACATGGGTTAGAAATCTACCTCTCTTCTGATAAATGAAACCTAAAAATGATAAGTGTCAGTTTTTTAGAATGTCTCTTTGACACGTGTCATTTTTCTATGATTTTTATTATTATTTTTTTTTTTTTTGGAAACAAATCAAATTCAATTCAAAATTTAAAAATACAAAATCATATCCTAATAACATTATTATGTTTATTTTGATTAACAAATTAATACATAATTACTTACAATCGACAATATCTTGGTTTTTTTTACATTTATTATTTTTTATCTATATAAAAATTTTAATATACCGACCGTGCGTGGTTTCCACGGGTTATAACCTAGTGGGTTAATATTTAGGGTTAAAGTATTTAGTTTTTGGTTAAGGAGCTCTTTTTATTATTGTTTTGGCAGTTTAACAGCAGAGTCGAATCTCAAAGTGTGTGAGGTGGACGACATGATCCATGTCATGAGGGGAGCACAATTTTTTTTATTTTATATAAAAAAAATTACATGAATGGTCTCTATGGTTTGAGGTAATTTGCACGTGTAATTTACCCCAAATCATAGGGACCTTCCGAGTTAAAAAAATAAGTTAGGGACCAAACAGACAAATTACCCCAAACCATAGGGACCATTCATGTAATTTACTCTATAAAAAAAGAGACAAAAATATTGATATTAAATAAAAATCAATAAAATAAGTAAATAAAAATAAAAACAAAATAAGTAAATAAAAATGATGTAGAAGAACTCAGATTTCAAATAAACAAATTCAAACTTGAAAATGATCTTTCTGATTCTCGAAGAATGAGAGGTACGGGGATTGATCGAGAAATATCTTTTGTTCTTATTATAAGATCGTGATTAGATCCGCATATATTTTATAAAAAGAATAATTTTCTCCTTGGAGAATAATTAAAACGAAAAATGTTCAATTGGAATATTAATAAACTTTGCTTATAGATTAAAAGAGTTATATTTAGGGGTTTATTTTTTTCACATAAGCCCCTTAAAATCAACAAAATGCCCATGTTTAAGAGCACCCACAGTGGTGCATGTTTAATATCTTGCAAAAAAAATGCCAACTCAACATAAGTCATTAGCTTTTGGAAAGAGAAATTTGTGGGTCTATCTAACATAATTGGTTGTAGTATTTAAATATGATTGTTATAATAACATAGTAATATAAAATCACTTACAAGACTTGCAAGTCTTGCATATATATAAAGAAGAAATTCAAGTGGCATTAAAAACTAGCTTAATGGCATTGCAATTTCTTCTGAAAGACCCGATGATGTGGAGGGTTTACCTGTATGAAGTTCATATTACGTGTTAAAAAGGAACCACAACGGCCTTTCAAACTAGTTGGTACCAATTAATTATGTGGTTTTTTAATTAATAAAAAAATACAACATCAGTTGACAAGGCTTCCCTTTTATAGGGAGAGGATTGCATTTTCTTTCCTCCCGATGATGTGGGAGGATTTCACATAAGATTTATGTATTACTTGTTTACTTATTCAAATTATATTCAATCCAATTAAAATTTCCATCACAAATATTAATCATGTGACATTCTTTTGTATAGAGGAACACACATTATATATATATATATATATATATATATATATATATATATATATATATAATATATATATATATATGAATGATCCTCCATTGTGTGGACGTAGAAATCAATGAGATTTTAGAAAAAAATACTTAATAATTCATATAAGAGTATTCTTGGAACTTTGCATATAATCAATTTTAGAAACCAAAAATACTTCCTTAAATCTTTCTTCCCTTGCTTCATCTCGGTTTGTGGTGGATTTCGATTTCCATAAGAAGCTTTCTCCGGACCAAAATTCTTGGTTAGAAGATGAGTTTTCGCATGGTGAGGTTAAGCGGGCAGTTTGGGATTATGGGGGTGATAAATCCTCAGGTCCTGATGGCTTCATGTTTGACTTTTTTAGAAAGTATTGGAATATGGTTGGGGATACTGTTGTTCATGAAATTATTCATTTCTTCTCTTCTTCTAAGTTTCCTAAAGGTTGTAACCCATCTTTTATCACTTTAATTCCTAAAGTCTCGGATGATAAATTTGTG